GTGGGCAAGTGGTCAAGTGGTGAGGCAAGTGGTGGACTAAACCGCAGTGCAACAGCAGTACAACGTCGGTGGGATAGCGGTGAGTCCACAGTCAGACCCAGTCCGGTCCAGCAAGTACCACAGGGGGACTGTGAGCACCAAGGGCCGATGGCAAAGGGCAGACCAACGAGTTTCTGAAGTATAAATCAAGAGGCAGCGCCCAGCCATTCATTCATTCCTGCGGGAGCCATGCGGAAGCGCTGCCACAGCAACTTGTGCAAGGAGGTCTGCAGATGAGCCCAAAGGACGCAGTGGGCAAGAGAGGAGGAGTAGCATAGCGATAGGTTAGAGGCAGCCATAGCTGCCATAGCTGTAGTTAGTAGTGAGTGTGTGTGTGTGCTCGAGTGTTAGAGTGATGCGTGTGGGATATCCAGGGTGATCCAGTGTATGTGAACAGTGAGATGTTTGGGCGCTGAAGTCGCCATAGCCAATTGAGAGTGAACTCATATCTGAAAGCCATATCTCTRAGTTTTGAGTGGGCGCATGTCGCCAGTATACTGCGTTGCCGTTTACATGCGTGAAAAGTGTGTTTGAGAACGAGTCTGATTTCAGCAGGATACCGGCCAGGGGACAGCCGGTAGCACCAGGGATAAAGCGGATGTAGCAGGTGCATCTTTTTTTTTTTTTTTTTTTTTTTTTTTACAAAACAGCCGGCCATGCTCTAGGGGGAAGTTCATTCTTATTTTGCACAGTTCGAGCGATGCCCCAACTGAGCTATGCTACTGGATAACCTGAAAGCAGATAAACAGTGGTGTGTATTCAGTAGCTTGGAAATACAGTATTTGTTGGACGAATCACATATCTCTTGTATTCCAGGAAAAAAACGTTTATTCCAGGGAAAAAGGAAAAAAAAAAAAAAAAAAAAAAAAAAAGAAAGCAGGTAAGGCCAGTTCTATATTTTATTTTATTATATTTGTTTCTTTGATATAGTGCACAATCCCTGTTTTTTTTTCCGTCGCTACAAGGGTGAGAGCCTTGAGGTATCCGCAGCAGATTCCAGCCCTCCAACTCCAGGGCCTTGAGGTATCAGCATCGAACGGACCAGCCCCAGGTTATTCCATTCAACTGGCCGTAATTCCATCCAGATACATTTAGGAAAGTGGTAGTGTGAGTATGGCCGCCGTCCAATAGCCCAGACGTGCGGGCAATCTCGCCGGCGCGGGAAAGCAGAGAGAGTGGCAGGACGCTGAGAGGGGAGGAGGCAAAGGGTCAGAGTCACGCACACCTATATATTTCACCTGCGCAGGCACTTGCGGAAGCACTCACGACCTGGTGGGAAAGAGAGAGAGAGAGAGAGCGGGGAGAACCCATTGCCGGCGGAAGAGGGCGGCAGAGGTTTGTATGCATCACTCTCAGGCTCGCTCGCTCGTTGCCTGCTCCCACCGCTGCCAGTGTTGCTATACAGTGACGGCTTGTTTGGACAATACGTTGCACTTGGTCGGAGAACCGGACCGAGTGCTTTGAAGACGTTTTTTTTGGCAGTTTGGCTATGGTGTTTTCCTCAAACTGCAGATAGATCTTGTTGAGTTAACTTTAGAAACTATCCACAGTCTACCTTCGAGCGGGTTAACTGACAGTCTGAATTCCTGCAAAATCCTACCCCTTAAGCGCAGTGGGCCCGGGGGGGGAGGTCGTGTTCCGCTGCACGCCGGAATCGGGCCGAACTTTTGATTCGGCCCGGTGGATAAGGGCGATCGAGGGCGCGGCGGTGTTTAGAGCGGTGCGCGTACCGAATTGTTCACAGCGCGCCAGAGATCGAAAGAGCGCGCCCGCAGGGCAGTGTGGCGGCGGGCGTCAATAGGAGGGAATATCTCGGAGCACCCGCCGTCGGATAGAGTTTTCCTTTTTCCTTTTGTTTTTCAGTTGCTTTTCTTTTCTTTTTGTTTTGCTTGCTTTTGTTTTCCTTTTTTCTTTTTGTTTCGCTCGCGCGTTCGCCGCGTCGTTTCTCTTTTTTTTCCTTTTCTCTTTTGTTTTTCGGTTGCTTGCCGCGTCGTTTTCTCCTTTTCTCTTTTGTTTTTCGGTCGCTCGTGGCGTCGTTTTCTTTTCCTTTTTGCTTGTTTTTCTTTTCCTTTTTTCTTTTCTTTTTTGCTCGCTTTTCCGCGTCGTTATCTTTTCCTCTTTTCATTTCTTTTTGTTTTGTTTTCTTTTCTTTTTTGCTCGCTTTTTCGCATTATTTTGTTTTCCTTTTTTCATTTCTTTTCTTTTTTGCTCGCTTTTCCGCGTCGTT